TCTTGGTCCTTTGTTACCTTTTCAGCTGGCAAGGAGAAAGGGAGAAACGCTTAAAAAAGTGAACAAGTTAATCCAGAAAGAAAGTAGGCACTGAATCTTTTTCAGTCTCTTGTAAAAATGGCTTCTTAGAGATAGAAATGCACGTTGTTTTTGCAGATATAGCTTGACCTCCATGTAGCAATTATAATGATTACTATATATACCAAAAATGACTTTTTCCTGCATATTTTCTAATAATGGTGGTGGGAGGAACAATGTCAATCTCCTTGTAAATATTGTATTCATTATTCTGAAACAAGATGTTTTTCACGGCAACTTTTTAGAAGTCCAGCTGTTCAGGTGAAAGTTAACAAAAATGCTAGGGGTCGGGGAAACTTTATTTTAATCAAAAATAAATCCTTTCTCTCCCACTCTTCACAGCATTCCAAAGAACTAAAATTGCTGTTCTTCTACAGATTACATGAAGTTAGACCTAAAAATAGAAGATGTAGCAATGATATGATAATTCATACATGTTTACCAGAAGCTAAAAATAAATCTGGAATTAGGAATTTAATATCTGCTTTGACAGTAAGTTCCTTGGAAAAAGATAGGATTTAAATGTTATAAACTTCATCTCAATTCTGCAAGATACCAACCTTATCACACTGAGTGTTTTGACATAAATAGCCAAGTACTTGAAATTGTAATCATAGGTATGCACTCGAGAATTAAAGTTAATTAAACACAATACCCCTTAGTTGTCACAAACCCAGTAAAGCATAGTACTGTAAAATTGACTTATTTGTAGCCTGGCAGCTCATAATCAAACTAACTGGGTCAAAAAGTCACAATTCTCCTTTTCTCTATAAGTGCCTGGTGTGTTCTGAGTTGTCACGCTAGATGATCAGCAAATCTTCATGACGTCACTAGTCACCTTCCTTATTGGTCAGGCAGCCCTGGATAGTCAACACAATTACATTTGGGACCAATTATGTGTTCTGAACTGGCAACAGTTTTTAATCATCATCATCATCACAATCATCTTGCCAATAAAGTTCTATAGCTGATAAGACTTTTTTACCCATTCTTCCTCTCCACCTCTTTTCCTTGAGCAAAATGGGTCATTTGACTTATTTTAGTTTGTCCACAGCACAACTGACTAGGTGGGATGAGTTTAACCCTGTGCATTACAGGTCTCTTTAAGGCAAATTTAATCCACTGGAGCTAGGTGATTGGATCAATTTGTACGTTCTTGGTGTTCCCAAGACATATTAACTATCCCTTAACCAGTTAAATATATTGTGAGAACAGTTACTGAATTTTATTTTCAAATCAGCCCGTGTAGGAAATGCTTTGATTGTCCCTCCTTCCATAAGTCTAATAACCTGAAAATTATGTCTTTTGAATGGATAAGTCCTGCAATTCCTGCTTGTGGACCTACTGAGTTCACTGGTGCTTTTCGAGACAAGGTATGTGGTGTTGCTATTCAAAAGACAATATGCAGTTTTTCTCTCTTCCTTCCTCAATGTTTTGCGTGAAAGATGGAAGGCCTGATGGAAAAACAAATAGATTTAGAACAAAGTAACTGGTCATCCTGTACAAATCCTTTAAAGAGAGTGATGGCATGACAAATACCTTATTTGAAATACCTTTTTCATATATCAGTGTTGTATACAAGGTATACAGCCAGAATGCTTAATTTGGGGAGTGGGAATATTATGTATCCTCCAACTGTTAGCTAACAGTGTCCAGTTTGGTGGCAATTGACTTTTTTATCAATTAGTTCATTTTAAAAAAATTATAAATGTGTAAAGAAATTACTTTCTAATTAAATGCCCTGAAATAAAACTGGGTTATCTTCCCAAATAATGTATGTTTAAGATTGGAAAATTGCCTTAAGATTCACTGAGAATCAGATAAAAAGAAACTGATAGGATTTGCTACATGATGATTCCCATCCTCTGATGAGAATATGATAATAAAAGAAAATATATAAGACTTTCTGGAGAGATTTCCCTCCTTTCATGTTACTGCAACATGTTACTGCAACATATATTTTAATTTTTTAAAAAGAAGTAGCACTGTTAACTGTTTTGTCATTTACCTGCTGGATGAAATCTGTTTATACAGTATTGAATGAGATCTATCTCACTAGGAGCTGTGGTGGTGCAGTGGTTAAAATGCAGTACTGCAGTCAAACTCTAGCCACAGCCTCAAGTTCAATCCTGACTGGCTCGAGGTTGACTCAGCTCTCCATCCTTCTGAGGTCAGTAAAATGAGGACCCGGATTGTTGGGGGAAACATGCTGACATTGTAAACTGCTCAGACGCTGCTGTAAAACACTATGGAGTAGTATATAAGTCTTGAGTGCTATTGCTGTTCATTCTGTTTGATATCTCAACTTCTTCTTCCAAAGCGCAGGTGTTCGCATTTTAACATCTGGTCCATTTTTTTTTACCTTTCACTTTTCCTATTTGATTTCACTTGCAGCCTGAAGAATTCAACATTATTTATTTTTGTGTTGTTTTTGTTGGACCTGTGCCTGTAACTTCACATGTAGATGTGTGATTCCATGAAGCATTAAAAGATAGTTTTCCCCAAGAAATAACATCAAATCCTTAGAAGAAAAATAGAAGAATTGACTTGAATACTCCAAATCACCATTTTCTAATTGAGCCATAGATGATAGATTGATAGATTAGATTGATAGATTAGATAGATGACAGATGATGATGAAGATTGATAGATAGATGATAGATAACAACTCCTGAGTTTTGCTTAGTGACCATTCAAAGTTACAACAGCACTTAAAGTAGTGACATGATCGTTTTTCACACTTATGACTGTTGTAGCATCCCTGTGGTCACATGATCAAAATTTGAATGCTTGGCAACTGGTTCATATTTATGACAGTTGCAGTGCCTTGAGGTCATGTGATTGTTTGCAACCTTCTGACAAGCAAAGTCAATGGGGAAGCCAGATTCACTTAACCGGGTTACTAACTTAACCATTGCAGTAGTACACTTAATAATAGTGCCAAGAATGGTCGTAAAATCTCTTAACTGTCTCACTTAACAGATATTTTTGGGCTCAATTGTGATCAGACGTTGAGGGCTACCTGTACACAGATATTGTAGAATTTTAATAACTTCTTATAGTAAACAAGCTTACCTAATCCACCCTACTTTTTATGACACTGGTTCTTATTCCTACTTTATTTAACACTGGAAGTATTTTTTTCCTAGAAAAAAAATTCAGAAAAACCTCACTGAGTGTTTTAATAAATCCCATCATGTTCCTTTCAGCACAATCCTATGAATGGCTATTTCTTGCATCCAGTTTAAAAATTCCAGTTTATATCTAGAATTATTGACTCAGGCTCCAAAATATCAGTTCCAGCCTTGCTGAAGTCAGTGAAATTTATACTTCTCAGTAAATACATAGGACAGCAGTGATAATTAATAAATCAATTGTTAAACAACATTACTTAAAATATTATTATATTTTATAACTCATTGATTATTAATTCATTCCATTTCTGAAAAATAAAATCATCAAGGAATGATATAAGAACATGACAGATAGCATAGAGTTTTGCAAAAAACAGTTTTAACCAAGAGATTTAAATGTCACTCAGGAACATTTGCCTGTAAAATACCAATTTATTTTAATACTTAAAAAATAATAATAAATCCAGTGATAAATGTCCATTATCAAGAATCAGCATAAAGTGCCAAATAGCAATAACTTTAAACCAAAAACATATTGGAATGTCTTGTCTTTTTTTTTTTTACACTGTTTAGGAAAAAAAATAAAGATGATTCTGGATAAAATGCTCATGTTGAGATTTGTCAGCAAACTTTCCCACCCGCCTTTTTACAAAACACAGTTCACCATCATCTGGACACATGCTTACTTGAAAGTACCACCAAGGCCACACTGTGCACAGCAGTCCCTTTGATTTATTATTATCATCAAGTTTCCCTTTTGTCTCTCGGGTTGTTTTTTCCTTGGTTGCTTGATTTGGTTTGCTTGGTTTTTCCTTTCAATTTTTCTTTCAAATTACAAACTACCTCCTAAGGCACCAGACCACGAATAAACAGAAATGATAGCATGCTCAGTAGAGCATGCAGAAGAGATTCACACGCACACACACACACACACACACACACACACACAGAAACCTGTCTACCAAAGACAGAAGTGTTAATTTCTGAAGAGGATGGCAGGACCCCTGTTATAGCACGAATCTCCTTCAAAATGTTGCCTCTTTTCAAGCAGTTTTATTAGTGATTTTTCCTGCCATCTCAGCCGTGCCCCAAATGTGGAATTAGTTAGGATAATACCCTTCTAGATTTTATTTTCCAAAGTTTACAAAGGAGACGCTTTTAAACAAGTCACACACATAAGAATAAACTCAACTGGGGAGGTAGAAAGCTATTTGTTGTTTGTGTTTGAACCGAGGACAAAAATTCCTCTCCAATACATGAGCACCACCTTTTGACGTAAAGTTTAGTGAAGTCACGCAGGATTTACACTTGGAAGTACCCAGGTTTTGGAAAGACTGACTGTGGTTTTTCCTGTATGTCGGGTTGTGGGTTTTCTTGATGTATTTTTTAAGTATTAAATTAATTGTGTTGAGTGTTTCCCATTGTCTCTGTGAGGAATTTGATCTAAAATGCAGAGTGAAGTGGAGAGATGAAGTTCGTTGGGATTAAAGTCTTTAGCATTTCATTTTGGAAGGTCGGAGTTCCTTTACTTGTGTGTGTAGTGTCTTGTGAACAGCCAGAGTCCTGGATTGGCAAAATCCTTTTCCACATTCTTGACACTTAAAAGGTTTTTCTTTTGAGTGGATATATCTGGGAAGAGAAAATAAGAGAAAGAGAGAAAAAGTTTTTTTTAATGGACGTTTAACCTCTCCAAGGAAATACAATTCTGTTTCAACTTGCTGGAATACAAACATTTGCTGGGAGGAAAAAATTAAAGGGAGCTTTGTTCAACTGAAGAAACCTGTAATCACTCTGGATTTGGATGCACAATTAATGTTGATCCTGCTACGATTTACTGTTTAGACCACTGTTTCTCAACTTCAGCAACTTTAAGATGTGAGGACTTCACCTCTCAGAATTCCTCAGCCAGTTTAGAAATACCGGTTTAAACAGTGACACTTTTATCAATAGCACTTAGACTTATATATTGCTTCATTGTGCTTTACAGCCTTTTCTAAGTGGTTTACAGAGTCAGCCTATTGCCTCCAACAATCTGGGTCCTCATTTTACCGACCTTGGGAGGATAGAAGGCTGAGTCAACCTTGAGCCGGTCAGGATCGAACTCCTGGCAGTGGGCAGAGTCAACCTGCAATACTGCATTCTGACCACTGCGCCACCATACAACACATACATGAACATGTCATGATGCAACTGCCATAATTAAGAGCTCGTATCAGGATACCTAATTCAAGGCGATAAGTTGCAGCACTTTTTGTGATTATGTCATCACATGCATCACCATTTGCTCTCCCTTGCCCACTGCAAGAACTCGGGCAAGAAAAATGGCCATGCAATATTTTTTTGTGAATATCAGAATGAAATTCCATCCAAAAATGAATACAAAAAGATATATTTGGAGCATCTCTTTGAATTGGATAGGAAAATACAAAAACCAAAGAACCCACCATCTCCCAAATTAATTAAATTAGAAAGTTTAATATCTAGTTCTCTGTTAATAACTTCAGTAGAATTTATATAGCAGTTGTGTATCAGTACATCCCACTGTTTTCAGATCATTCTGAAAACATGTTTTTTCAACTCCCATTGTGTTTAGTAGTGGAAAGTGGAAAATATTAAATTCTAAAAGCATAGTACTGTCCTCTTTCTATTAGGATTACCATATCTAGGCTGGAAAAAAAAACTCAGCAGCCAAGTGTTAAGAATATCTTGATGGTCATCTGGACTTTAGCAGATTACACAGAGTAGCCTTAAATTATAACTAGACTTTTGGATATAAAAGAGAAGGATCCAAAAACTCAAACTTTGTTTTAGTTGTTTAAAATAAGTGACCAAGGAAGTCTCCAACTTTAATCAGAAGAATCCTGAAGGAAAAAAAATGTTAACACTTCTGCTATCTTTAAATCTCTCTCCAAGAATTGCTATTACTCTGCAGTAGACAACATAGAAGCCTTTCTTATTTCCCATCTTCAAAATTGGAAATAATTCTAAAGTTATATCCCCTATTCAAATATAAGACAGACAGAAACCATCAATGATGAAAAAGCCCAGAAATCATAAAACTAGAATGAACAATGAAAAAAAGATAATTCACAAAGGAGCTTCACACAATATTAACAAGCATGTAACTACAACTTTAAAGTGGTTACAGTAAACTTAACTATAATGGTTTATTTTTATTAGCGTGCTGAGAATTCTGTATTAGATTTTAGTATAGTTTTCATAATCCAATCCCACACTTTGAAATTAATTTAATTGTGTTGAGTAGGGATGTATTTATCATACCAGTAAAAATATGGAAATACATACTAAATGAAGAAGGATTACAATAAAATTTAATGGTTTTCCCCAATTTGTGTACATGTCAAGGAAAGAATGTACAGAAAGCTACATGGTCTCTTGGGGAAAATGTTGATTTTGTAATCAGAAATTGTATCCAGTTTTGGCATTAGATTACCCAGCTTAGTGGTTTATAGCAGAGTTCATTGATTGGACTGTTGGGAACTATTATTTAGAGCAGACCCTAATGTAAAAAATAATTTTAAAAAGTTTGGGGGGGGGGGGGTAGAATAGTGATATATTCTCTAATCAAGAGTTTAAATATGAAGCAAACTCCTGATCTTCACTGTCTTGAAACCAATATAACTAATCATCTTTTTTCCCCCTCTGTCTTTAAATCCAAGGAGTTAAATAGAACCGAGATTGTAATTAATTAACTTCTCCTCACTAAAGTCTTGGAACTTACCTCTAAGAAACATGTTTAATATGATACATTTGGTGGGGTTTTATATAAAATATGCAGTTATACTTTGAACTGATAATTGGTATTTAAGGGAAGATACAGTTAAAAGTATACTCTTTGCATACAGAAGATTCAGTTTTGATTAGCTTTGCCATTGGTATCCACATGATATCTGTTCTGCCTGGCCTAAGCTACTAGCCATATACCCAGTTAGTAAATTAAAGTTGCCAGAGATAAAGCTCTGGAACCGATGATCTAAACACCATTCCAGAATGAGAAACCTGTGCTCCTCCAGATGTTGCTGAGCTTTAGCTGCCTGGACCAATGAGAGTTGTATTTCAGCAAAACCTAGAGAAGCACAGGGTGTTTCTCTCCGACAGTAATAAAAGCATAATAGGATTTTTTTCAATAAAATAGTTTCTTTGTTGTGACTTCAACTTGCTGTTAAAAAAACAAGACCATCCGCATATTTACTCCATAAGCTTTGGTAGCTGAAAATTCAATGAGGATTACTCTGAAACGATATCCTCCAGGTGTGTTCAACTACTATCCTTAAAATCCTCAAAGAGCATAACGTTTTGAAGTAAGCAGGGAGATATCTAGTGGGCATGAGTACGGAGAAAGCTGGCATACAAGACTGAAATAGTCATCATCAAATTAAAAAGCATGCGCAATCAACAATGGATTAGGGGAGTCAGGGGAAGCATGCAGATTCAATCCCTGGGCACCTTCTCAAAGGAGAATCTAGACTTTGGCTCATGGAGTTAGCAATAGCAATAGCACTTAGACTTATATACCGCTTTACAGAGCTTTACAGCCCTCTCTAAGTGGTTTACAGAGTCAGCATATTGCCCCCCAACAATCTGGGGTCCTCATTTTACCGACCTCGGAAGGATGGAAGGCTGAATCAACTTTGAGCCAGTGAGAACCGAACTGCCGGCAGTCAGCAGAAATAGCCTGCAGTACTGCATTCTAACCACTGTGCCATGGTTATATACCATTAATGTGAGAGATCTTTAACAAAGATCATTACCATTTTTTGCATGACAATAGCAAGGTGGATGGAACAGGAGACATACCAAGTTATCAGTGATGCCACCAGAGAAGGATATGAATACCCATAGCCTCCACATGGGAAAATGAAGAGCATCCTGAAGTACCAATCTAGTTGACCCCATTTTGAATTAAATGATATAATATTTCCTTCACGTTGAATGGAAACATAGGACGTGAAAAGCAGTTTCTAGAACTGCATGGCTGCATCAGTGCCTACAAGAGATCTTCATTTTTCTGAGCTTTGAAATTAAGAATTGTTTGCAACTGTTCAAGCCCTACGTTGTCAACGTAACATTATCTGCAAAAAACGATATCCATCACTTAAATCAGGGGTCTCCAACCTTGGCAACTTTAAGATTTGTGGACTTCAACTCCCAGAATTCCTCAGCTAGTCATGCTGGCTGGGCAATTCTGGGAGTTAAAATCCACAAGTCTTAAAGTTGCCAAGTTTGGAGACTCCTGACTTAAATGGATGAATTATATTTAAGTCAAAGCAGTGTCATTTATATAATACAACCCAAACAAGCAATATTATGATAAATTTTCTAAAGAATGCACCCTAAAATCCTTTATAATAAACTTGAGTTTTGTTAAATAAACATGTTCAGTCACCTGTGATCTCTCAGATGATCTTGCCTTCTGAAGGCCTTGTGGCAAATGTCACACGTGTATGGCCTCTCATCTGTATGGGTTCTTTCATGAATCAAAAGGTTGTAGGACTTGGTGAAGTGTCTGCCACAGAATTTGCACACAAATTCCTTCTTGGTTTTGGAGGGTAGCCTCCCACGGGTGGGTTTCTTCTCGGGGGAAAGCTTGGTCACTTCAAGCAATGAGCCCAGGCCTGCAGAAGAACCTTGGTTGTCTATCTGTCCCAGTTTTGAATGATCTTCTTGGGTGGCAGCTACAGCAAGGTTTGCAAAATCAAATCTAGGCTTGGCTTTGAGTGGCACGTTTGTGGCTTCGTGCTTGGGATGGATGACGTGTGGGAACAACGGGAAGGCAGGCAACTGGAATCTGGCATCCACTAGGCTGGTCACACCAGGCACTTTGGAGAAAGACGAGCGGGGCAGATGCATGGCAGGGTAGCCCAAAGTCCATTGGTGAAGGTGAACAGCATGGAGGGCACTGAAACCGTAGAGGTTGGGCAGGTGGTCCGAAGGCACTGCTGGGAGGCCATTGAAGGCTTGCAAAAAGGAGTAATTGGTCAGCTGCAGGGAAGGATGGATGGGTACTGGGGCAGGCAAGGTCTTGCTCCCCATCCTGGCAGAGAAGTCTGAAAGAGAAGGCAAGTGCCTGCAAGGAAGGAAGGAAGGAAGGAAGGGGAGAAACATAAAAAGGGCTCAGTAAATGAAGTGTGGAACAAAGCAGCTATTTCATTTAACGTAATTACCCTAGTAGAAATAAGATGACACAAAGACACGGAACCAAGAAGAACAGGTATAGCATAACGTTCAGAGAATTGTTAAGACACTGAATGATGAAATTATAAGTACAGAAATTATAAGCTGCAGCATCAGTCTCATTTCATAATACGACTTCCCTGACAGATTGTTTGAACAGCTGTACCTTCACAATAAATATGAAACTGAGTAGCCTAACCACTAGGAGATCTTAAGCAGTTATTAGAAGCCCTGGAGGGCAACAGCAAAAGCCTCTAGCTTTTCCCTTCTGAGGCCTGGCCTTTGTCCCAGAGCTAATCTTCCTGGTGGCACTGTGGAATAAGATTCAGCTACCACTTCAGAGAGCTCCTGTCCACATCATCTTCTTTGCTTCTTCTATCAAAGCATCTCTGTACAATTCCGTGTGAAACTTTCTGAACTTTGCCCCAGTATGATAGACCTTGGTATCCTGGAGACATCAAGGGAGGGAAAGCTGTATGATACCAATGTCATTTTGGTTCACTGTGTTATAAAAGGACAAGAAGTAGAATGCAATATATACAGTCCCCAGGTGAAGACTTAGAGTCAATTCCTACTTACAAACAGGCTGCTTATTGCTAAAAAGGTTGCAAAGCTTTCTCCTTCCCCGAGCCGACAAATTACTGAAGCCTCACACAATGTTTCGGGAACTACTGAAGCTGCGTGGTTTTTAAATACAGCCTGTTTTTCCAGTGGTTCATGAAAACACCGTGCAGCTTCCATGGTTCATTGACATGAGGAAGGAGAAAGGCAACTCGTTGGTAAGTATGAGCTCTGACTTAACATACAAATTGGAGTTAAAGGCAGACTTAGGATCAGAACACATTCTTTGCCCAGGGACTGCTGGGTTGAATAGAAAAGAAACTTAAATTATATGTTTCCAGACTGCAGATAAGGCTTTCAGGGCAGAACCAGAACGACAAAGTTGTCAACTAGCGAAGAAAGACAAATGTGTTTCAGTACTCCTGCTATTAGTTAAATCCTATCCCAGAATGTGAGAGTCAGTCTGGTGTAGTGGTAAAGGCACCAGGTTAGAAACTGGGAGATTGTGAGTTCTAGTTCTGCCTGAGTGAGGCACGAAGCCAGCTGGGTGGGTGACCTTGAGCCAGTCATTCTCCCTCACCCCTAGGAAGCAAGCAACGGCAACCCACTTCTGAAATCTTGCTAAGGAAACTGCAGGGATTAATTCAGACAGCTGCCAAGAGTCAACACTGATTTGGTGATGTGCATGCATGCATGCGCACGTACACACACACACACACATGAAAGCTGGAGGTTAGGCTTGTTGTACCCCTGATTTTTATAAAATTCTTTGAGAGAGGGAGGAGGAGTTGAAAACAAGCAAGCTGGTGAAAGAGGTTCTACCTGTACGGCAAAGACACAACTTCCAGCTCAAAGCTTCCTTAACTGCCTTTGCCACAACAACGGACAGGCATTGAGTTTCACGGAAAAAGCAAAACACGATCAGTGGGTCTTTGGGATATTTAATAAAAAGCTCACCTTTGGCAAATTGAGACTGGCACACACCTGGTTTGTCAGCTCAGGGTGAGCAGATTAGGCACATCCCTTGCCATTCATTTCTTCGGAAAAGGGGGCTTGGTGATGTTCACCCTCACCCCAAATTTATTTCCCCTAAGTTGCATAAGAAGAACCTAGCAGAATAACAAAACCAGGACTCTATATTTACCCAACAGTACCAGAACAGAGAGTAAAAATGAAGCCACTTTCAAAAAATAAAGTGGCTTCACATAAACCATGAAACCATTTCAATTTTTTGCCCCACTTTGGCAATGCAGAGCCTCACAGATCCTCCTTCCCATTTGCTCTCAGTCCCTCAGATGCAGCCATTGGGAATTATCTCGCACTTGGAAGTGGTAAGCAAACCTCTTGAATTCTAAGCAACGTGGCAGAATTCCTGGGCATTCCCCCCCCCCCCCAGGAGTGTCTATGGAGATCCTCAATCATCCAAGTCAAGATTGTCCCAAAGGTGCTTTTTTTTTCTTTCCAAAAGGCAATTACCTTTGGGGGGGGGGGAAGCACCTTTCAGTTTTTCTGGAGCTCGATGAAGGCAGGCTACAATCTGCAATCCTGGGAATCAAGACTCAGTGCTCCCCATTTTAAGTAGCTGCCTTGTCTCTTTTCTCTCCCTCCCATCACCATGCTTCAACTCTGACCTCCAATTTCCTTCAGAAAGAGTTTTCAAAGCGCTGTTTCACATGGCATGCTGTCATTTCCCATATGCTTTCCTGAACTACGTGGCGCTAACCAAATTGGTGACCTACTCCGAAATGCAACCAGGCCTTGGAATTTAAGGAGATCTTGGAATTTAAGGAGCCACACATTTAATCCACAGGGAACAACTAGTGGTAGAAAATAACACCCAGCCTCTTGCCCTGCACCCTACTTTTCTTTCTTGTTATCCATTGTATATGGAAAGACCCAATGTCCCCTCTCTATTTCCAGTCAGTCAATGAAAGAAGAGGATCTTTTAAAATTTGGATGGGATGCCTACATCAGGGTTTAGGATTAAATGAGTAGATTAATATGTCCTTTTTTTTGAAATTGTAAATAAATCTTATGAAATTCAAAAGGGGAAAACCATGCAGAATCTGATTTATATATGCTATGTAGTTTTAAAGGGATTATTAATTTTAATGTTTTAGGTAATGTTAAATGTTTAATGGGATTTAAAAAGGGAGATAATTAATGAATATGTAACTTAGAGGTGGCGCACTTAAACTGATATTTTAGGTGGAAAACCTATTTATAGGAGTGTTTTTAATCAGAATTTAGGATGAAATATACAAATGTGACAGTTAAAAGTACTGAAGTATAATAATTATGAAGCTAACATAAGTGAATTAAATAATGAAATAAGCATTTGGAATAATATAATAAAATAGAAAACGTATGAAAGCATTGTTAAGATAAGAAATTGAATACAAAAATTGAATATGTAACTATGGTCATATTTGTATGTGTATGTGAAACCTGTAATCATGCTGTTCACTAAAAAGAGATGTTAAAATGTGAAAACTGAATAAAACTTGTTTTAAAAAAAAACTTGGATGGGACACCCCTAGGAGATCCCAAAGATATAACCTTGATTGGGGGGAAAAAATCTGGAAAACAGCAAAGGCAAATCTTTTAGCTGTCGTTTGAGGAAAAATTGTATTGAAACCACTCGGGTGTTGAAGACTCCAGAAACTGAACCAGAGTTGAAAAACTAAAGTATTTTCAACCCCACCTCCAATCAGAAGTGGGGAATGGCAGAGCAAGCCTAAAACTCAGGAAGGCTGGACAAGTTCTGAAGCCTCAAGTTCAGGAAAGTACTATCAACATCTCAAGAAGCAAAGGGAGTCAGCCCATGACAAAACTGGCACCTGTTTGAGTGGCACTAATTTAGCATTCCCTTCAAAGGAAATAGGAGAGAGAAACGCCAGCTTCCTCCATTGGCGGAGCCTTCCTTGATGAGATTACCACATTCAACACTAACCAGCAATTCTGGGAGTTTTTATTTATTTATTTGATTTGATTTGTCAATCGCTTACAAGATAATAGGTATAAGTATAAACATGAGTATGAATACAGGAAATAGGTACGAATAAATGGGGACAATAGGACAGGGACAGGAGGCACAATGGTGCACTTATGCACGCCCCTTACAGACCTCTTAGGAATGGGGTGAGGTCAATAGTGGTTAGTTTGAGGTTAAAGGAGTGGGGGTTAGAGGATGTAACAACAGAGTCAGGTAGTGCATTCCAGGCATCGAGCACTCTGTTGTAGTCCCCCAACTACCTGCAGAGTTAATTCTAGGCTGAGAATAAAGCCTATCAGCCTGGAACCATCTGTGCGTTCAGAGCGAAATGACTGCGAGTGGAGGGCTGAACATGGTCTCCTCCTCTTTCCCGAATAACCCCTTGTGGCAAAAAAAAAAAAAAAAAAAAGGACGGAGTCGCTTTTGAACTAGTTAAACCCAAGCCCGTTCAGACGACTGCGAAACCAGCCAAAATGAACACGCTTTAAGGTTGCACCTGAGGGAGGCGGTCCCGTTTGAAAAAGAAATCGCAGAGATGGGGAATACCGTATATAACGAAGCAAAACAGACCCACAGATCTCAGATTGGACCGTGTTTGGGCCCGGTTTGTTTTGTGTATATATGCCACCCTTTCGTTTACTGGAATCACTTAAAACCCTGCCCTTCCGGTCTCGGCTCGGCACACAGTCAAGATTTTTTTTCCCCCCGGAGATTGGATCTCTGCCTGTTACCGAAAACAGGACGGATGACCCTCTGCAAAGGTCCGAGACGGTCCTTTTGCTGCAGAAAGTGAGATTCTGATATAATAATTTGGGCAGAGGGTCCTGAGTTCGCTTCCTGCGCTAATACAGCGAGCTACAAACTGGGTTGACACGCGTTCGCTTTAGGCAAGAAGAACATAGTTTTTGCCTGATAAGAGGCTGGAGGAGAATAGGCGGGGCTGTCTGTTGGCCCTGGAGATAAACTGGACGGCGGAGACTTGTGTGTGTGTGTGTGTGTGTGCGCGCGCGCGCGTGCTCAGGACCCCACATCGGCAGCCAAGATACACAGCCAAAGTTTCAAAAGGAAAAACTTTGCAGGGATGACTTGAGAGTCATCCGTGGACGGCGTAGGGGTGTCTCTGTGGCACAGGCTGGCCCAAAGAAACCCTTGCCCTGCCCCATTGCAAAGGCGGCGACCTCCTCAGCAGCTGCGGGGTTAGCTAAGGGCCACTTTTTTTTTTCCACCACAGTTTTACTAGATCGGCCTCAAAAAGAGAGAGTCGTGAATCCTAGAATTCCATCGCGTTGACCCAGAATAAGCGAATGTGACATTTCGCCAAGATCTGGCTTTTCT